AAAAAACTAATGAAAATGGTTTGAAAACTTTGAGTTTTAAAGATAAAGACAAAATAAAGGGTAAAATGAATAGTAACAAGATTGAATTTTTAATGTAAAAATGTGATTTTTCGTTAAAGTGAACAGTACTTTTCGTTAAAGTTCCCTAAAAAAAATTCTCTTGTTTAACATTGACATCCTAATAATCTAGTTTTGTTTTTTTTCGTTTTCTCCAGGAATTTTCTATTTTCTATTAGTTTTAATATGAATATGTACTTAAGAATAATGTTAGGTAGATTAATTTTTAAACCAATTTTATAAATCATGTGATGTGTCATTAATAATAAATAAGTACATTAACAAACATTTAAGTGATAATCTAATCGTCAACTACTAAGTCATATGATATACAAAATTTAATCTAAATAATTAAGAGAATTGTTAAAAAATCTCATTCTACACTCCAAACTTTATATATTGAAAAAAAAATACACTTGTAAAAAATGTATAATGAAATTTTTAAAATTTCAATAACACTTCGTATAATTAATCTCTCTAACATTACTTTGTACTTAAAATTCAACTTTTGTGTATCAAATCATTGTTTGTTCATGCATGGTATTATGAATGATATTATCACGTCAGTCCCACATAAATATATGTAATTGACTAGACATGCCACCACTCTCAATAATGATGCGTCCCAATTATAGTGGTCCAAGAGGAAAGTAATTATGAATTTGTTTTATGGAAGGAAAAATTAATTAAGGGGGATTTAATTATGGAAAAGTAATATCTACATACATTTTTTTATTACAGCAGTTAGGGAAGAGTTCGGTTTCAATCAGTTCGAGTTTTTATTAAGATTGAAAACCTAACCATTTTAAGTCTTCAACACTTCAATACCCAACCATTTCAAAATTGAATGAGATTTTATTAATGCTTAAGTGGCATATGGAGCAACATAACACATTTTTTTGATTTTTCCCTTGCTATTTTTATATAGAAAAAAATAAAGAGAAATCATGATTAAAACATTATTTTGATTACCTACTTACACTATTTAAGAAAGGATAATGCTAGGAAGATTAAATTTGTAAACGTTGTTTTAGAAACTAAAAGATATGGAAGTTGATAATTAGTTTATTACCTAAACATTAATAAACGTGTTCATTCCTAGCACATCATTTAGTTTGTAAACTTTATCTTAAAAATTTAATCTCTATAACATTACTGTTTAAGCAAATGTTTTTATCTCTTGCCTGTGAAACTAGAAGACACAACAAAACAGAAGATTGAGGAAGCGTTGTCGCAGACGGCGCGGAGGAGGCGTTATCGCGGACATCGTAAAGGAGGTGTCGCAGACAAAGCAGAGTGAAAGTGAGGACAACCTGGACGAGGAGGTGTCGGCGTGTTGCAGTTGCAGAGTCAGAGTGTGGACCGAGGAGTGCAGGTAGACCGTACAATGACAACAGACATTTAGGAATTAGGAATTAGGGTCATAGGGGTAAAAGCAAAACAACGATGTTTTAATATTAAATTTAATTCGGTTCGGTTAAGTTTTGAAACTATTGAAATCAAAATCTAACCAAAAGATTTTTGTTTGGTTTGATTTTTCTTCAATTTGGTTTTTTGTGTTTCGATTCGGTGTTCCGTTCAGATTCTTTCGCTTTGATCACCCACCCCTAACAACAACACTCGTGATTATTTATAAATTTTAGTTGTATAAGCTGAAAAACAAAAATAAATAGAAATGTACAGACAAACAAACAAAAAATATGTAAGAAAATTATATCCTTTAATTACGAGGCAGAGGCAAATTTACTCTTTGCTGATGATAACTCCTCAAGGTTCAACACTTCATGCTGCTTTTTTCCCTCTCTTCGAATTTTTGTGTTTCCTCCTTCATAGTCATCAGTCAAAAGTTTATCTTTTATTGTATTGTATGTATAATTGGTTTACTTGGGACGGTTCTCCAATTACCAGACATCCACCCTTCCTCTCAATTCTGTGTGATTTATTTATTTATTTTTGGACAGACTTTGTGATTTATTATTATGTAATTTTTGACTCATACTCTTTTGGCTCGAGATTCCAACACTTGTCTCGTAAGTCTATTTAAACGCGCTATTCATAGATGAATGAACCTGATCATCAAGTACCAATTTCACAAACAACAAAACATGTATAAATGTATATTAATTAATCTAAACTAATTTCCAACCTTATAATCGAGCCAAAGCAAGTATCAGTGTATTCAGATTTAGTTTTATGGAAAATACGATATTTATTTAAGATGTCGATAAAATACGTATAGATGATAGAACATAAACAAGAAGAGAACCTCCAAAAAAATATCGCCAAAACTTTCAATTCGGAGCAAGAAAATAGAGGCTAGCATTATAGAATAAAAGAGAAAAAGATATAATCACTCAATAAAACTATCTTCAATCAAGATGTCTGATACCATGTCCCGTGATTCCTCACACTGAGTTACCTTGCGCTGCTCTCCAACTCCTGAGCGTTGCTCTCCAACTCTTGATCTTTTGCAGTTTTTATTATTATTTATCTTGTACTTTAATCGTAATTAAGGTGAAATAATTTGATCCTATAACACAATACTGAAGAGTGTGATTCAGAAATTGAATCATTATGCTTTGTTTGGTGATTGAGAAAATGAATAATAGATAAATGTATAAATCCCCAATTTGCGATTAATAGACAAGTGTATAATCCTCAACTTGCTTTTAACTTGTGTGTTAACCAAGGGTGGGCAATTACGTTATGTTTAAAGTTCAATCTACCAACGTAAGCAGCAAGAAAAGTTTAGAGTTCAATTTTTACTAACATAACAAATAGTTGGAATCTCTAATGCAATCAAGTCATAATTTTTGGTATACGAAAGAGGAGAGGAGCTTTCCTATCTCCGTTGTAAAGCCGTTACGACATAAATAGAGAAAGTATATTCCCCAAACTAGGAAAAGACACAATTTCACTATACCCATGTATTTAGCTATGTCCACATACATGGTAATCCAATTTAGTCATATTTTTTCTATCCAAATTAGGAGAGGAGCGTCTTTATCCTCGTTGCATATTAGGGAAGATTTATCCTAGGAAAGCACACAGATTCGCTATACCCATGTTTTTAGCCATGTCCATGTACATCTAATCATACAAATGTACCAACATAAGCACTTGCTAATTACCTTTTAGTCTCATACTAATTTTGCTATATGAAATTGCCATTTGCACAAGTTGTTGTTGTAAACCCGTTAATAGTTCCATTATTTGTTCATTTTCTCTTTTTTAGGGCATATTTCTAACTAAGAAAAACTTGTTGGATTCTTTATTCTTAATACAAATGGTCTGTGAAAAAAATACCCGAAGAACTAGGTAACAAATGTGAATTAGGCCAATTAAACAAACCAGCATGCTGGTCTCATTGTGCACAAATTTGTATCTTATTTTTTCGTATATCCGTACATTAGAATAATATAGAATATCGCTTTGTGAAAATAATCAATACATATTTCTTTCTTTTTTAACTAGCCTTCACTCACGCGCTCACATGCGTGTAGAAGACATTTTTTGAATCACGACGTGCTATGCGCTACTTACACATTTTAAATGTATTTATATGCGTGAATTGACAAAAGAAAAGTTAAATATTGCAAGTAAATGAATAATCTTAGATTATGTTAGAAGAAACCCTTAGTGTAGATAATATCGTTTGTTAAAAAAAAATCGTTTGACAACTAATTTAATCACATTATTATGCGAGTGCGAAAAACCTTTTTTATAACCGACATTACACGTATATGAAGATGTTTTGAACATGTTTAAAAATAGAGAAAATAATATTTAATGCACAAATTATAGAATCACATTATTGCTAGCCTATTATGAGGTACTAATTATAAAAAATAAAAATAAAAATAAAACTGTACAAAAAAATTTAATTATTAAAAAACACTGTTAAAATGATGAAAATACCCTTACCACATTTGATGTATTATTTTGGATTGCTTTTGAAGTTTTTTGTTTGAGGGGCATTTTTGTTCAATTATTTTTGCTGAAGCTTGTGACTCCAAAAAACACTATTTATTGGGCTTGTTGGCTTTATATATACAAGCTTTCATGCACACGTTCAAGCGCGTGCAAAAAACATTTTTTGAATCACGGCGTGGTAGGTGCGACTTACACGTTTTAAATATAATTATATGTATAAATTGACAAAAGGAAAGTCAAATATTTGAAGTAAATGAATAATCTTAGATCATGCTAGAAGAAATCCCTCATAAACCAATTAAAGCAGCTGAATCCACATAATAAAATCGGTCTCTATTGAATTTATATTAAGAATAGAGAAAATAATATTTAATAAACAACTGATTGAAACACATTATTGCTAGCCCATTGTGAGGATAAACCCACCCCTTAGTGTAGATAATATCGTTTGTTCAAAAAAAAAAAAAAACAATCATTTGACAACTAATTTAATCACATTATTATCCGCGTGCAAAATATCTTTTTTATAACCGGCATCACACGCCTCTTAAAATGTTTTAAACGTGTTTAAATATCAAGAAAATAATATTTAATGAACAACTGATTAAATCACATTATTGCTAGCTTATATGAGGTACTAAATATTAAAAAAAAAAGTACAAAAAAAATTAATTATTAAAAAAACATTGTAAAATGACAAAAATACCCATATCACATTTGATGTTTTATTTTGAATTGCTTTTGAAGTTTTTTATTTAAGGAGTATTTTTATCTAATTATTTTTTATGAAGCTTGTGACACTAGGAAGAAGAAGATACGGAGGGAAAAAATTTGAGGAAAAACATCGAAAATAAAAATGTCATAAAACAAAAAAGGAAAAAAAAAAAAAAAAGGAATGCCGGTTTCCGGTTTGGCGGTATTGGGCTGGGGGGAAGTGGTTAGAGCAGGGGGTGACTGGTATTGAGGAAGGATACAATGCATGTAGCAGAATCAGATGTATGAGAGGAGAGAGAAGGAGAGAGAAAGAGAGAAGGTGAGAGCGACACCTCCGTACTTCCCTCTTCCCCATATAATCTTCTCCCAATGACACATATATACCCAGACTCCCCCACACCTTCCCACATTTGAATTTCAACACGCTCTTCCTCTTCCTCCTTCTCCACCTCCATTTTTTTCCCTACTTGCTAGGGTTCTTCCCCAAATGCTCCGTGCCCTCATCGCTCTAATCTCAACGCTTTTCGTCTTCGACTTGTTTGCTTTTGAAATCTCTGGATTCTCGTGGATTGTTACGAGCCCGCGACCATGCCTGCCCTCGTTAATTCCAGCGGTGAGTCTCTGTTTTTTTTCTTTTCTTTTTGCTTTTAATTATGTGGGATTTTGATCTAGTTTTGGTGAATTTTGGTCAGTTGCTTTTATGGGTTTTGTTAATCTTGGTTTAGTTTAAATGGGTTGGTGTTAAAGTTGTAAACTTTGTATCCAATTCGTATTGATCTGTATGTTCTATAGCTTTAATCTTTTGGTCCCTTGGTGGTTGAAGAATGCTTAGATTTAATGCCTGGTTGAATTTTCAAATGTCTTAAAGTTGTTGAAGATCTTATGTAGTGTGCTTTGGATGTTTGTTATGTTCAGAAATCTCATACCTTTATGAGTTTTTAGGGGAAAAAATTAGCTGAGAAATCCCAATCAGTGGTATTGTAGATTCAATAGGATTGTATAGTAAGTTACATTGAATGGTAATCCTTACAAATTAAATTCAATAGGAAAGCCTGTAATTTTGTTAAGACTTAAGATTTGGCATGAAGAATTTCTGGTTTTGAACGAATTTGTGGATACTTGTAGCTGAATTTAGTTTTTGTTTTTGGGTTTTTCCAGGTGACGATGATTTCTACCCTGGGGGTTCTTTTTACTCAAATCCCATGGATTTGGGTTGCCTGTTGTCAATGGGCTCCCATGTGGATGTGTATTGCCCTCCTAGCAAGCGGGCTCGCATCAGTTCCCAATACGCCTCTGGAAGGAGCGATTTTGAACAAGTTAAGAATCCGTCAATCAACGTTCTTCCCGATGAATGCCTCTTTGAGATTTTCAGGCGCCTCAAGGGTGGTAAAGAGAGGAGCTCTTGTGCATCCGTCTCTAAGAAGTGGCTTATGCTCTTAAGCAGTATCCGGAAGGTTGATCTATGCAAGAGCCCTGTTGTCGACAATTCCAATGACGCTGAAATGATCACTGGTGATGAAGATCAAGAACAGGAAAATGATGGTTTCCTCACAAGGTGCTTGGAAGGGAAGAAAGCAACGGATATTAGACTTGCTGCTATTGCTGTTGGAACCAGTAGCCGTGGAGGACTAGGAAAGCTATCGATCCGAGGTAGCAACTCATTCCGTGGAGTTACCAACCTTGGCCTCTCGGCAGTTGCTCAGGGATGCCCTTTTCTCAAGTCTCTTTCATTGTGGAACATCTCTTCCGTTGGTGACGAAGGCCTGATTGAGATTGCTAAAGGATGCCCTTTGTTGGAGAAGCTTGATCTTTGCCAGTGCCCTTCAATTTCCAACAAGGGTTTGATTGCAATCGCAGAGAAGTGCCCAAATTTAAATTCTTTGAATATCGAATCGTGTTCAAGGATTGGGAACGAGGGCTTGCAAGCTATTGGAAAGTCTTGCTCCAAGTTGCAGTCCGTATCTGTCAGGGACTGCGTTCTTGTTGGCGATCATGGAGTATCTAGTCTGTTATCATCAGCTTCTTCTGTGCTGATGAAGTTAAAGCTTCAGGCTTTGAACATCACGGATTTCTCTCTTGCCGTGATTGGACATTATGGAAACGCTGTTACCAATTTAGTTCTCAGTGGTCTCCAGAACGTTAGCGAGAAAGGTTTTTGGGTCATGGGTAATGCTCAAGCTTTGCAGAATCTGGTTTCATTGACAATCACATCATGTCGGGGAACAACAGATGTCAGTCTTGAAGCCATTGGCAAGGGATGCACTAGTTTGAAGCAGATGTGTCTTCGCAAGTGTTGCTTTGTATCCGACAACGGGCTGGTAGCTTTTGCCAAAGCTGCAGGATCACTTGAGAGCCTGCAACTGGAGGAGTGTAACAGAGTTACACAATCGGGAATAATTTATGCCCTCACAAACTGCGGAGAAAAGCTGAGATCTCTCACCTTAGTGAAGTGCATGGGAATCAAGGATGTAAGTTTAGCAGTACCTATGACCTCTAGTTGCAGATCACTTCGATCCTTGTCCATCCGAAACTGCCCTGGGTTCGGTAGTGCTAGCCTGGCCATGGTAGGAAGGTTGTGCCCTCAGCTACATAATATAGACTTGAGTGGTCTATATGGAATGACAGATGCAGGGATTCTCTCACTTCTCGAGAGCTTGGAGGAAGGGCTTGTCAAAGTGAATCTTAACGGATGCTTGAATTTGACGGATAAAGTTGTTGTGTCGTTGGTTAGTCTGCATGGGGATACCCTAGAGGTACTGAATCTTGATGGGTGCAGGAAGATTACTGATGCAAGCTTGGTGACAATCGCAAACAACTGCTTGTTTCTTCGTGAGCTAGATGTGTCGAAGTGTGCAATCACTGACTCTGGCCTTGCTGCCCTTTCTTCCGCAGAGCAGATCAACTTGCAAGTCCTTTCCATTTCTAGCTGTTCCGAAATCTCACACAAAAGCCTCCCTTCCCTGAAAAAATTGGGCCAGACCTTGATGGGGTTGAATCTCCAACATTGTACTGCTATCAGCAACAGATCAATTGAGCTGCTTGTGGACAGCTTGTGGAGATGTGATATCTTGGCCTAATGAGGAACAGAACAATACGCCTATATAGCGAAGGAGAGAAGCAGATATGAAGTAGGGGTAAGATCAAGAAATCAATGGAATTCGGGTTAGATTCGGCAGTTCTTAGATGTTAAGCTCACACGGTCAGTCCACACGCGTATCCACGTTCTGCATACATAATTTTTGGTCCATTGGTAGTGGCCTTGCCGGTAGATCAGCGGCTTGGTTGTTTTCCAGGGGGACTTTGGCAGATAATCATCATTTTTTTGCAGGCTTTCTCAAACGGGAAAGCCTGTTTCCGCTGTTTAGCCTCCCATCAATGGGAGGTTGCCTCTCTTCACCGCCATGGTTCCCCTAGAATACAGTCCACCAACCGCTGATATAAGGTGTTTCCACTTGCGTTCGGTCCTCTTTTTGTTCCGCTGGATGGTTTACGTGGTGTTTTTAGCTTCGTCCCTCATTCCTTAGTCGGCGTGTTTGATTAAGCTTTACATATTTTCAGTCTGATGGAAGTCTGTTGTCTGAGATCTTAGTTTTCGTTTGTGTTTATGTTTTCGGGCTTGCACATGTTTACGGGACTAGTTTTCCCTTTTCATGCGCATATGTAGTGTTTCGATGCTTTGTGCGGTTCAAGGGATGGGGTTTCTCCTGCGTTTTGGGCTTCGTTGGTGGCAGCGACTCCGGTCGTTCTGCCATGGCAACCTTGTTTTAGGGTTGTTATTTTTCCCAACCAAGTCGTAGTTTTGCAGGTTTCTCCATGTTTATGAATTGTACTCTGCACCTGCTAGTAATGTAATTAGCCTTTTCCTCTATATACGTGGGATGCATTTCTCTTATATACACGTGATTGGTGATTCTCTCTCTCGGATCTTATGTCCTCACCAGTAAGTTAGGAAAATTGAAAACCCAAAACAAAAACTGAGGCTTACGGTTTTGGTGTTGGAAAAGAATGGTGATAGTAAGTAACCCATAGAGAAATGACTTGACACTTCTTCTATTTGGACAATGGGATATTCTAAACTATTTAGCAACGGAGTCAAATTAGGGTGAATGGCAAAGTTCTAGGGTTCCACCACCACTCGCACAAAAAGGGCCTTTTGTATATCTTTTTTTTTCTCGTCTCTATCCGTGGTTCCACACGATTGAGAGGCGGCATGCGGCACTGGTACACAGATTCTCATAAGCGTACACGGGTGGTGCACCTGCCTTAAATTTTTTTTTTTGAACAAATGATATTATTTACAATAAAGAGGAGGGGATTGATTTAGCATCACGAAGAGGAGGATGTTGGTTTAGCGTTATAACGGAATGGCAATAATGTTGTTCAATTTCGCAATCGAACTTAAAACCTTTCACTTAAAAGGAACACCACTAGACTGTAGTATTAAATGACGGTGCACCTGCCTTAATTAATTTGCCTAGTAGACATCGAAATGAATGTCATTTTATACACAGATGGCTTTTTGTATCTTTTTTTGGATAAGGATTTTCTCTCCTTTTTCTTCCTTCTCTTCTCTCCTCCAAACACTCAAGATTTCCTTTATAGAAAGAAAAAAAAAATGTAAGAGGAGAGGGAAGAGAGAGAAAAAAAAGAGGAAACAGAATCTCCATCCATCTTTTTTTTTTCTCGTCTCCGTCCGCAGTTCCACCCGATCGAGAGAGAGGCAACATGCAACATCTGTACTTACGATTCTCTTAGGGTAAAGGAACGGCGCATGTGCTCTGGTTAGTTGACCGAATTCACTTTTAAATGAATGACACTTCATGAGATTTTAGAGGGCAACAGTTGGAAACTTGGAGGTGGTGGTGGTGGTGGTGGTATCTCCTTTGTTGTTTACAATGAAGACATGGTGGTGAGGTGAGGTGGTAGAAATGTCAGGGTGATGCAACTGGTGACTGAGTAGTGGTTGAGCTACCCAAGGTAGTGAAAGCAAGCAAAGCAGCCATCTTTTCTGGTCTGGTGAAAGAACGGCATATGGCTACAGTGTTGATTCTTTTATCATCTGAATGACTCTTTGTCCTTATGTATCTCTAAGCGAAACTTGGGTAAAAATGTCCAACTAGCGCAATTAGATGGGATCAAGTGCGGTCAAATGAGATTAAAATATATTCGTGCTAAAAGAAACTTTAGTAGGGCTATTTAACTAACGCAATCGAATTGAATGAAATCACGTGCGGTCGGTAAGATTGGAACATAAAATAATCTCATGCTTTTATAAAATACGTTTAAACGCGTGATTTGTGGTAGGGGGATTGATAGCCCACTATTGCTGCGTCCTCTCAGCATGTGGTTCTTCTGAAGCCTCAGATGTTGAGCAGTTAGACTGTCTCTGTGCACAGAATCTTCCCTGTTTCTAGAAAAAGAAAATCATTAGAATTCCATTCATGCCATTCTTAATCTTATAAGAAAACACATGGATTGATGAGGCCTTTTGAGCAAATTGTTGTTTCTCTTTCGCCCTCACTAAAATAAAAATTTATAGTATGGTCGATGTCGTCTATAAAGTACACCAGAGCATAGTAGAAGATCGTCGTCTATCACAAAAGAAAGAAATTAAAAAAATAGTTCTTTTCTTTTTTATGGCACACCACTGCAAAATGTAAGTTTATCTGTGCAACTCCTGGAAGCATGAGCATGAGCTCTTCACTTTTGAGTTGGTACACAGTTCCTCATCAATCAATGTGATCATGGTGATTGGCATGGCAATTAATGCAAGGTTTACAACTTAAGAAAACTTGGTAACACCCTGTGTAGAAAATGCTTTTAGGTTTTAAAACCTACTATCTTCCAACTCTCTGCGGAGTTGTATATTCCATTCACATGGGGTCAAGATTTAGCAGAGAAATTTCAGCGGGATTGCTGACATGTCATAATTTACACTAGTGGAATTAATATGGGGTCGAATATATTCATGTTCTTGCTAGAGTTGGTTTACAAATACTGTAGTCAGACTGTTCTACTGAAATTTTTTACAAAATTGAAGTTCATATATGTTATTTAACAGAGAAGAAAGCAAATGGGGATACGGGGTTTGCATGATGAAAAGGTGGAGGGGCAATTGTACACAAATAATTTGAAAAAGCAGGCAAGGAAAAGTCAATTTAGGCAGAAAAACTTGTAACTTCAGTCATTCACACTGAAACCTAAAGTCAGATAAACTGCCAGTTTGCTCCAGAAAAAAAAGCTTAAAAAACAGTATCATCCATCCATCAAAACTCAGAAGATGCATTGCTTCAGCCAGTGATCAAAGTCACACTCATAAACCATAGCTGCTGCTTCTTCTTTTCCTTTTCCATTGATGGCTTCTTTAAGAAAATGCCCAAATGGGTTAAGGATCACAGTCATTATCTTGTTTCTCACATTCTTTCCTTCCATTTCAGGTAACCGAAACGAACCCATTTAAGTCGAGACATCGCTCTGTTAAAAAAGAATTGTTATTAGCACTCCAAATTAGTTGTCGTGGACTCCTTCTCCATCATGACAATTCTTTTGGCGTGTATCTTGGTTCTTCTAATTATTTTCTCCTTTGAAATGTAGCTGAGTCAATGTTGAAGAGAGATGGCGATCAACGGTTAAAAAATCAAATGAAGACGGTGCTGGGATCGAGGCCGCCGCAATGTGCGAACAAATGCATGAGTTGCAGGCCTTGTACGGCCACTCTGGTTGCTTCTTCACACCACAAGAGCAGTAATCTCAAGGCAACAACTTATCAAGGAGATGAGAGCTATTATCTCCTCTCATGGAAATGCAGATGCGGGAACAAGTTGTTCCATCCTTGAATATATTAGATTTTAGTTTAACGTAACGATGTTTCTGCAAGCAGCTTGTAGCTTAAGTGATTAAGAGCATTTACTTGTGTCGGAGGCCGTGCGGTCTTCTGACTCGATTCCACCTTCGCCAGATATAGTTTGTATTCTAAAAAATAAAGTTTCAAGGGGTCCCTGCTTCCTATGTACTCAAGCAGCTATGATCTTGATACAGAGACTTATGAGCTCTGGAGTCCTTCCATGGATTGCTCTTTAATATTAAGGCAGGGAAGCCCTTTGGATTGTTGCTGCTTTCATTGTGATTACTTGAAAACATTCATTTGCACAGAATTTTGGGTTGGATTTCCATTAAAATCATTACAATATAACTCGACGAGATTCTTTGAGTCTCGTCGGTGTATATAATGAATCATACGTTTGTGGCTCTCATCAATACCCATATAGCAACATAACTCAATAGATGAAACTTTGAGAAATTCTCAGGTGCCACCAGTTGTATATAAACATGTGATGTGATGAGAAATAAAAACGTAGTTACATATATACATTTAGTAATAGGAGGTACTTTCTAAAGTGAAAATGTCGATGCAAGAGAGAATACTTGTTGAAAACATTAAGAAACTGCTGTAATGGTGGACAAAATGAACAATCTTCACGATTTATACATTCTGCGAATCATGTTCGGCGGATACTAAATACATGGCGATATCTCTCAACGGAAACCAGCTACATTTTTCTTCTTCATGTTTTTAGGGTTAATAATATCGAAACGACAAACTTACAGAACAAAATTACAAGCAAATACAACATGTGAAGGACACGCTAGCTTCAGAACATGTCGCTAGAGAAATAGCCTTCCTTTGTTGGTCTGCTCGCTGATTTGCTTCACACCCAAGGAAATGGATCAGCAAGCCCTTGTTCTAAGAAGATTCGAACTATCCTTACCCTCTTTTGGGTTCCAAATAATATCTTTTAATTTGGCACAGAAATTCTTGTAAAACTGCAAAACGAACCGTAAAGAATCACAGGAAAGATAAATTAACAGATGCGAGTATGCAATCTTCAAAGAAATATTGTACAAGGAGAAACAAAATACGAATCACGGAATGCTTTTTTGAGTACTTGAGACTCGTCAAACGGTCACATAGTGTAGCAGCCAAGTATGACAGGCAAACAACAACGAACTAGAATTGAATTTATGGCATCCACTAGAAGCAAACCTTATGATATTCAAGAGTATCTCCGGCGGCCTTTCGAACATCTACCATGAAAAGGGATGGTCCAACTTCATAAACCTATATGCAAAAGATAACGATCATGTTAAATAGTAGTTGTACCGAATCCAGTCCTCCTTTGGGAATATAATTACAGTGGTTATGCTGACAATCTTAAAGATTACCTCGAGGACAACTGCAAATTGTCCCATCCTATTTGCTGATATTCCTTCAAGTCTTGTCTGCGGTGCAAAAATTCAAACACGAAATTAAATGTGATGTTAAATAAAAGGTGAAAAAGGAACCAAATGATTTTCAGGTAGCAGCATCCAGAGTACATACTAGTTTCCAATACAAAGTACTAGGGTAACCCAACCAATCATACTCAAACCTCAACTAACAACACTAGTCAATGTTGGACAGCTGAAGCCGAGGTGCAATAATACCTTGTAATTGCGCGTATGGACCTTGAGACTCATTGATTCTGCAACAGCTTCTACATTTGAAATTATAACTTGAGCTGGTTTGCGGGAAACAAATCGGGTTTGCCGATTTACATAATCCTGCAAAAGGTAAGAGCTTTATAAGTTTTAACAAAATAATAAGTTAAGGGGAGGCCAATAATTGGGCAAGGGAGTAAATGTGTGGCAGCACAAGTGCTGAATGTATACAACCATACCTGTCTTCGGTCAAACAATGCGGATAGATTTAGCCCTTGGGATAGGGTAATCATCTCGAACGCATTCATTAACAAAGGACCACCATCCTTAATTTCTGACCGCTCCGGTATATATTGATCCTGTGACATAATACCAATAGTGTAGAAATAC